ACGGCCCTATGCTCCACTGGGAATTTACAGGAATAATAATAATAACAATAAAAAAAAGATAGATGGTTTCGGTTGTATGATGCTATGTGTTTTAGCCGGTGTACACGCAGCATCAGTTACTACAAACATTCTTCAGACAACTGTTGAAAGTTCAAGCAATAGCATCTGCTTAGATCTTTATCCACGTCGTCTTGTTTCGGGCCCTACAACCTGTGAGGTATTGAGTTGTTTCACCAGTTAGAGCATACGTTGTTCGACAATAGACAATTTTTACAATACTCTCTATGAAAGGAATCTTAAGTCAATAAATACCACATAGATCCAGTAGTTTTCATTGTTTTATGAGACCATTTAGCGCTTCTTCCACTTTTGTGTAAAGATTTAATTCCCCTGTAGAATATGTGCTACATCCCTTAAGCAGAAAGAGTGGCATCTGGATTTCCACAATAAGTTTGAGTGGTAAATCCAATGTGTCCCTTAATCTTCTAACCACAACAACACCAGGTGCGAAATTTTCTCATTTCGGAATATGTGATGGATAGTTACTCTGTTATTATCAGGAAAATATGAACCATGGACTAACATAGTTTACGGATGAGTGGAGATAACCATTATTGATTTTACAAGACTCCGCTGATTGTGCATACTGTAACTAGAATGCATCCTTGGTACTTTCTATATATAGAAAGTATATACTGTCCCCTTTTGCCTAAAGGTCTCCTGTAAAAAGACGGATTTCGTTAAATATCAATTTTTAGCGGATGATGTGCCCATATCCAAGATATGTGTGTTCTCCTAGAAATCAATCACATTAGTTCTGTTACAGCTAATATGGTATTTTGTCTCAAATTGTTTGCTTTCACCATCTCGCATGAGTCGGGTACATACTGGTTTCTTTCAAAGTTACTTTTGCAACATTGTGCTCATGACAATATCATGCCAAACAAACAAATGGATTCGTGCTTCAAATGACACCAGAGTATGGTTAGGTTTGTTGTGAATTTCGCGCAAGGCTACACGAGGGCTATCTGCGTTAGCCGTCCCTAATTTAGCAGTGAAAGACTAGAGAGAAGGCAGCTAGTCATCACCACCCACCGCCAACTCTTGGGCTACTCTTTTACCAACGAATAGTGGGATTGACCAAAACTTTATAACGCCCCCATGGCTAAAACGACGAGCATGCTTATTGGGACGGGGATTGCGAGTCGAGCGTCCTAACCACTTGGCCTTGCCAGGCCACCTGAATATGCTTTGAGCACATATAACACGTTAAACAAATATCGTCTTTTCACCAGTCTCAAAAAAATAAGGTTTGTACTGTCTGGTTTGATCGAGGATGCACTACATTTGAAATATGGAATAGAAGCGTAGCTTGGGTCACTTCTATCGGTTTCACTGTCATCTGGAGGGAGAATCATCAAGCACATGATGACTGGAATAACAGAAACATGGCATTTGGTATACAAAAGACGCTATCTTCGGCAGGAATTTTATTCTCCTTTTAATATAACATTTTTTGTATATTTATTTAGTTCACCTTTATGTGGTCTTTTCATGCGTCTTCACGTGGCATACGACACATCTGTGTTCATTTGAAATTACTGAGAGATGTCTCATTAACATTCCTTCAACGTGAGCTTGATAAACCATTCATCAATAAACAATAACGTAAAACATTATTGGTCTCATAACTACAAAAGTGTTTCAATATTACTAATGTGTAACCATGCAACTGGCTCTACTAAGCAAAACTATAATTTAATTGGCTGATACGTAAGGTGTACAAAAGGATAGTGTAGATTTGTTCAGTGGTCATCTTTTGAATGTATTATATTTATATCACAAAATAAAAGGCTTAAAAATTCCAAGCTAATACGAAAGATGGATCTTGACATTTTGCCATAAGGAACAGTTCTAATGACAAAACAGCCCAAAACATATTTAAAAAAATATCATCTTTTAATATTTATTACACCTTACGATGATGAACAACACAATAAAGACCGAAGTTGCTTGAAAGTTAAAGATGACACTGACAATATTAACACAAACACAGAGTTGAAAAAAAATTCAAGTGAGTCTTACTAGATTCGATATACATTTAAAAATAAAATGTGTAACAGAGGAGTTCATTTCTGTGAATATACCGTATGGTAGTTCCCTTACAATTCGAACAAGTTTATATTAAATCTTTCTTTTTAGCCCGGATTTTAACATAAGTTCGTAAAATTACCACCGTTCCCCCCGGGGACCCGTCATACATAGATATAACTTAATCTTATAGGCCCTTGTCCTTTACATCTGTAGCTTGTTGTGGACAACAGAACTGACTAATAAGTTAACTAAGCACACAATAATGAAAGATTGTTGAAAAACTAATATTTGGAAACAAAAATAATAATAAAATTATCGCCCTTGCAACTAAAAGCAAGGTACTTTAACGTCCGTTTTATACAAAGTAAACTCCTTTATTGTGCTGCAGCTCTTCTGGTATAGCAGTAGAAAAATATGAGAACAGCTTCATTTAATTTCACATCTACAGTTTGGTTTCTTAGAAATTATATTGAACCATTAGAGCGTATTCACTACCATTACCTCCCTTTAATTTAAGCTCTAACTATATATATAGTGAGTACAAGCTTTATAACAGTATCATATATAATGTAACATTACATCATTAGTTAAATTACATTAGTTTTTGATAAAACTTTGTCATATTCACTATTGTTGTTACTTCCTTCACTAAGTCTTATTATTGAACTTCCTGTAATCTTATTCTCAGCTGTTGCTGAAGACTTAACTTAGGACTTCCTGTTGCACGCTTCACGTGTTTTGCTAAATGACAGGGGTAGTTAAAGTAGAATTACTTGTATTAGACACACCTCACAGTATGTTTAGTATATTATTTTTCTTTTTATTACATTTAACTTGGTTATATTTAACTAAAAAACAATATTTCAGCTGTTTGTTGTACAGTTCA